ATGTGCCTGTTTGGTGCAGGGCCATCGTTATGACCTATATGATATTAGTTATAATATAAAATCATATATCCTCATAACTGATGTATGGTACATCCAAATGTACCATAACATCAAGCTGTAGGTCTCACCATGAACAAGAAAGTCAATTGACTGTTTATCTGTTATTTGTGTGTATTGCATTCAATTATGTAGTGTCTGATTCATTGAATGAAATTATTTTTATTTTTATGATTGTTTTATTATGGGTTTTTTGCAAAAGCAATGTAGAACTCCCATGTTTTAGGTTGGAAAAACAGAGCGAGGGATCTTCTAGAATCATTTTAAGATCACTGTAGGAAAAATCATCATAGAGGATGCATGCTCGGAATAACTAGCTATAAGAAGGACAAGTATGAACATGATGTTTGAAATGGTGCTTATAGAGCTTGAAGAGTTTAGTGCCTAGGACTGATTTTTTTGGCATGAGATTCTTTCTATCCAAAATTATTGTTCCCTTACGCACTTTCAATTGTACAATGTGATAAAATTATGCCGCTAAAAGTACATTAAAATGCAGGCGAGTAAGGATTTGAATACAGAAGACCCGTGCCTGTAATGTATACCGAGTTCATGGACACAACAGTGTTTCCATGGAGGTTCTTAGAGGGCCAGGTCTTTGGAAATTGTTGCCGATCAAGCTCCTAACCAATTATTGTTTAGTAGAGAATAACGCCAATTTCATGAGAAATAAGGCAACAACAGCTTCCTGGTTTGAATATAGTTTTAAACTAAACAAAGTCATGGAACCAATGTAATTGAGAGGGACAACCGCTGGTTAATTAGCATTGAGAATTAGAGACGTCGGTATTAACATGATCCACTGCTAATCACGTCAGCGCATAACCAAATTTCACAGATAGAATCGTTGCCGGCTTTCCAAACACTGAGCAAGGGAACATATATACGAAGTAAATTAACATTTGAACCTCTGTTGCCGATTGATCTTGAATAATGCACAAAACTATAGTATTATACAATTGAATCATTTGACTTCGAATATAAACTCATTTTACCAATGTCACATTATTGTTTCGGTGAAACTGACCAAACTGTGCTCTTCTTAATTCGGCTGTTTGCGTTTGTCTAATTACATTGGATTAGAGATTAGACAAGTTTACATACCAATAATGTCTTGTAATGGGTACCCTACAATGCCAACATTGACAATTAATCTAACTGTTTATTAGCTTATAACAAAACAAGAGTGTTCAGCCTTTTCTTTTCCCAATAAAGTTCTAGTTGTTATTTAACAGTATGTGAATGTAGATACTGAAGTCACACATTTGACATCCAGTCAAACTTGTTTTGATCTAATCCTTCCCTAATGACAAATTTCAAGTCAAAGGAAACAGAACCCTATGAATCCATGATAGCTAACTTCACATATAAAAAAGGTTAAATGATTAGGTAATTGCTTATGTATGTATGTCATGAAGCTTATGTCCTAAGTAAAATCATTAAAAGAAATCTTATATGTTTTCTAATTTGGAAAGCAGTTTTTTCTAGGCTTTTTTTTTTTTTTTTAATAATTTTTTTTCAACCCAATTACATGTAATGGAATTGAAAATTATTTCTATATAAAAAATAACCCAATTTAAGCACCATAATTTTTATTTATTTTTATGACATAATACAAAAAGTTTCATAATTTTAACTAGAAAAAAAGGTCAATACGTCATGGGTTGGAAAGTAAAGATAGAAAACTTAAAAAAATTATAGGTTGCATTTGGTAGAGCTTTGTAAATATGATTTGAGAGCAGGAGTTGCATTTTGAGTTTGTGAGTTTTGGAATTATGATTTGAGTGTGGAAAATTTGTTTGGTAAAAGAGTTTTGAAATGAGTTTTAAATTGAGTGGGGAATTTTTGATGTGACATATGATATTTGATACAAAAACTTACAACTTATAACCAAACATACAACTCAAAATTCTATTAAAACACATAAAAGAATTTAAAAATTCGGAAAATATTTTTTCAAATATATAAAAATTAACATATCAATTGCAAAAAAATAAAAAAAATAAAAAAACGCATTGTTCCGGTCAACCGGCCGGACGACCGATGGGACGTCCGGTGGGACGACCGATTAGGCCAAATTTAAAAATAAAAAAAAAAAAATTGAAAATCGCACTCTCAGACAAAGTTTTCTGCAGAGTTGTGGAAAATTAATTCAACATACCTATCCAAACATCATACTGAAATGTGAGAGTAGGATCAACGTTTGGAAATCATTCCAACCAGAGCCATACTTTTTTGACAAAAATTTATTTTGTATAATGTTAATAGGAATGAATGAAGAATTTGTGAGAAAAGTAGAATTTATTGAAAATTTTCTCAAGAAAAAAAACTCCTACACAAAAGTACATATAATGGGCCCCCAAACTAGACATATTTATATTTTGGTTAATGATGGGTCGGCTTGGACTATCAATCACAATCTTATGATGTATTCATTGCCACGTGTCTAGCAACAGGAAAATGATGTACCATGCTCACAGGTACATGATGTTCACACACAAGGCGCTCTCAAATGGTGAAATCGCCTCCCAACGGCAACATTTTTTAAATTGTTGGTGGGGGCAGTTGCATAGGTCCTTTCATGGCTTCCATCATTCTATTTCCCCCCTCCCCCAAATAACCCTCAACACTTCTTCATATTTTAGTCCAAAAATTTTTTTAGTCTTATTCCTATTATCTCAAAATTGTCTAATCAAATGCGCATATATATACATATTTTATTTGTGTAGATATTAGATAGTCATGTATTGTTACTATTTTAGTATGTGATTGAATATAGGATTTGATCTAACGCGTTGGCATATTGGTCAAGTTTACCATGTCAAGAGCTTGTCGCAGGTGAACAGTGACTTATAGACTGAATTAAAATACAATAGTTTTATGTATGAGTATAATGCTAAGTCATCAAACAAAAAAGGAATATTATTGGGTCAATGTCCATAGAATAGCCGCCGTGAACACTAGGGGCTCAAAGGCATGATAGTATATTATGGCCTAAAGTGGTTTCCCACATCCATGACCCATGTTTGTTTTCCAAATTAGGTTGATTGAGATTGAATGATGAGATTATTAATGTGGTAGTATTTTTGGAAATATAAGATACAATGCGATTATTTATGTACTAGTCTGGTGGCATTATAATAAAATTGACTTTGTTATTTTTTGTAAACTTGGGACAAAATGGTCTTTCCAATTTCAATCCGGATTACGATAGCAATTCCAAAGATAATTCTATTTTCACACACCAATTCTCCTCAGTTCACACACTTAATAAAAATTTCCATTAATACAATTTTGTCTTAGAATAAAAATACTAGAATACCTTCATCTTTTTCTACTCAAACCGTAATTCTAAAATATCACAACCATTTTCTATCGCCAACGCCGCCTCTCTCATCCACCATCCCCTCCCATCGCCTTTTTCCCTCTTTGCCTGCGATCATTTTCGCCATGAATCATACATTCCCACAAGTCTTCCACCACGAATCACTCAAAGGTTGATTGTGGACGTCTAAGATGGAAGGGGATGAGCTAGAAGTGGCGGCGGCGATGGATGGTTGAAAGTGGCGGCAACGACGATAAAAGAGGAATGGGTGAATGAAAAAAAAAAAAAAAAAAAAGGCTACGTTTAATCTAGTTTTAGAATATGTTTTCAAAAATAACTAAATACAAACTTCTCATTTCAATATGGTTTTATCTTTCTGGGGGCAAAAAAATTTTAAAATTAAAAAATAATTTTTTGGTATTTATTTTTGTCGAATTAATTTATAATTTTCTCAAAAAAATTTCAAAAAATTGATTCAAACATTGAAACCAAACATAGCCTTAGTTTTAAAATTGAAAATGAGGGTAATATTGAAATGTAGAGATATGTACTAAGAATTTATATTTTTATAATATGTGCATTAAGAAGGTATTCATTAAGTATGTGTACTGAGAGGAATTAGTGTGTGGACATAGAATTACTCCAATCCCAACCTTTTGGGGGGGAATGCCAATTTCTACCTTTTTGAAGGGATTCGTATACTATTTTATCACAACCAAATATGATTTTAGTAGAACTCGTATATAATTTTCCTTAATCTAATCCTACACTTAGGGATGTAAGAAAAACCAAAAAAATCGACTAAACCAATTAAACTGAATCGAACCGGTCATATTTGGTCAGTTTTTTAATATGAATCGGTCTATTCGGTTTTGAAAATTATTTTTTTCGATTTTCGGTTTGATTCCGGTTTTGACATATTGTACACCAATTTCCACTAAAACCAACCGTAGATGTTTACATATAATAAAATTATTGTTTTAGGTTTTGGTTTTATTTTGATGTTAAGACTTTGATTCCTAGATTATATTTTATTTCTAATTCTAATTTAGTAAAAGCTTCAAACATTAGTATTTATTAATTTTTTTGTTTGTATTTTTGTGAATGGTGGGATTGGATATGTTTAAAATTATGTACAAATGGCTATTTTTATATAAATTATTTATTATACTATAAATTTAAGAAACGACTCATTTTGAAAGTAGTTAAACCGATCAAACCGCATTGAGTCGAACCGTTTGAATCAGTGCGGTTTTGTACTGTTTGGTAAAAAATTTGGTTTGTATTGGTTTTCAATATAATAAAACCAACATTATCGGTTCGGTGCAAAATTTCACCTAAATACCGACCGTTCCGAACCGATTACATTCCTACCTACACTCTATGTGAATGTAAATTCTTATACACCTCTCATTTCCAACTGGTTTTCAAAGGTAAGTATGAAAAACAATGATTTTTATTGAATTTCAACTTACGACTCTGTAAAATTTGTTTCTCAATAATAGAGCAAAAAAAGACAAATCCATGGTATTTGGAATCTAAAGAATTTGGTACTCCTTGATTCCATGACTTTACATTTTTTAATTGTGCCCACAACCTGTTTGTCAATTATTCTAGACTAAAAAAGTTTAAGGAGGAAAGACACAAATACACGTAATAGAGCTGTATAATCTTTGTGCACAACATTTCTTCTTTATTATCATATTATGGTTTGGTTTGAAATTGATTTCTTCAAGCTTTCCATAGCTTTCTGGTCTTAGTATCTTCAAGCTTTCTGGTCACAGAGCCATTTATACAAATATACAACTACTGATCAAACAGAGAAGCATCACAACTTTTGTTCATTGAATGCAAAATTCTTTGTGCTCAAGGTGTGACTTGGTTTAGAGACATTGACCCACAAAACCAGTCTGTGATTGCCCCAAGATATACTCATTCTCAAGTCTTATTTGTGTTGTTTGGGTCCTATTGGCTGCTTAGCTGGTTTAGAATGCTTTTTTTTTATATGTGGTCATAATTTTTTCATCTTGATAAAATTCAATTATTAGTGAGTGCCGTGTGGGTTAGGTTATCAAGAAGGATAAAGATTTCTTGAGAGGGGCATATTAGGTTTTCTTTGATGTCATATATTTCTTTGGGAAGGTTTTGAATCAAAGTAGATTATTGAGTAATATGGTAAATGGTGGAAGCAAGGGAAGCTCAGAGGATCATTCTTTTGTAAAACCAGGGACTGGCAAGCAGAATTCGAGGTCATTCCAAGCTCAGGTAGTTCAGAGGAGTGAGGTGGGAAAGAATTTCATGGAGACAGAAGGAAGGGGATATTCAGACTTCTATAGGAACACAAGCGAAGAGATGTTCTTGAAATCTTTGATGGAGAGCTCAATTGGAATGCCTGTGCCAACCATGGAAATGTTGGGTTTTAAAAATCTTTCCCAAAATTTTCGTACAGATAGCGAGGAACTCTTCAAAAGCTGGCTCACAAACGGAGAGGCAAGCAATTGTACCATCTTCTTTTGTTGACTTTGTTTCTCAATCCATGGTTAGATATTATTGAGTTTGAAGTGTTGTAAGTCTCAACGAAACATGTTGAATATGCTGGCCAAATTTAAGTTTTAAGATCATCTGGATTCTAGAAATCCTGATTAGTGTCAGACAAGTATACAAATGAGGTCTTGTTTTCCCCTCTAATCTACTTTTGTTTTCTTGATGATAATTAGCTGGATGAATTTCGCAGAGGTGAACGTTGATCAATTTTATAAGTGAAAATAAGCATGATTAGTCTCTCAATAATATATGGTAACAAACTTTGTGTACGGATTACTCTTGATTTTATCTCAGTTCTAGACACAAACAATGCTATAGCCAAGTCCGTTTCTAGATTTTGTGAAGTACTTACTTGATTGCTTTAAATGTACTTGAGGTAAAACACACAACTATACATTCCCAGCTATGGTACAAAATCCCTACTATGCAAAGCATTCAGTCCTTACATTCTTAGAAGTGTTTTTCTCTTTCTCCTACTCTTCTCATCCATTAGATGAATTCCAATTCTGTAGATCAACTAGGCAACTTATGTAGACATTGGAAGGGAAGAGATAAAGCACCTCACTAACTTTTCTCTCCGTCTCCAGCAAAATAGCTCTTTGTGCTCTGCCCCACTAACTTTTACCAAGTCAGATATCAGCGGAAATGATTGAAATGCCTATATTTACTTTATCTGAGTTCTGTCCTAATTACTTCTGTTTCTTGTTGATATATTGCGAAGGTTTATGATCATTCATTTTCTACCCCTTCCCAAATTGTTGTTTGTCTCAGTTGATACACTTTTGTTTTCCAGAATCATGGCTATAATTCAACAAGCATATCACATCATCCTCGTCAACCATCACGAAGGTTAGTAGGTGATAGAAGATGATAAGTTGATCTAATTAGCAAGAACCATATTTGTTTATACTTCCGACTTCTGTAGACAAGTAAATTTGATGTTAAATGCAGGATTACCACAGAACCAGCCAGCTTATCTAGTCAGCAACTTGGGGGTGTACTTCAGAAGAAAAGAAGCAATGATATTTTATTACCACAAATTACTCCCACAGCTGATGAACAATCAAGTGATCTCAATCAAAATTCAACAAGGTGGTCTTCTGTAACATATATATGTCATTCTGAATCACATGGTTTGGAGATTTTCAATGTTTAAGTCACCCACTATTTTTTTCCTCTCATCATCTCCTCAATTGTCTAAACTATTAATTTACTGAAAAAGGCTTAACCAAAACTATTTGGGTAAGCGCTAACCCCCCTTTCTTTCTTCTTTTTTTTTCATCAGGAATGTGGTTGAGCGAGACTTGCAAGCTAGTAATCTCTATTTGGCTAAGGTCTGTACATATTGAGATAGTTGCAGAAATATCAGTTCAATATGGCATTTCAACATAATCTCATATTTCACTGTGAATGCAGGCGTGGTTTCAAAGTTCTCAACCCATGACAAGAAGTCGATCCTCTGAACTACGGTATCATTTTTTTCATCATATATTGTCCATAAAAATATATCCTTGAAAGTTTCAGTTACTTGTTAGCACTTTGATAACCAAAGTTTTATCTAACATTTCATATTGAGACTTCGAACACTGAGAAAATTGTTAATTTTATTTTATAGGCAGATCCAAATACTTGCAATTGAGAAACTTAGGGCTTAAATTATCCAAGTTTTTATATTTTAGTTTCTTCAAATCACAGAAACATCACTTTCTAGGATTTATTTGAGTAAATACTTCTTTTCCAGGAAGAGGTATGCTGCGATGCAGAACTCTCAAACTTTACTCAGTATGGAAGCATTGCAAAATGTATCTGGACATGGTATCAACAATTTGAAACAGGAATTTACAATTCCAAATGGATTTGTTGATGTTTCAATGTGTGAGACTCCAAACCAGTTTAGCTCATTTATGTCTCCGTCCAATTCATCCTCGTCTACCTTCAACGCATCTCCTATTGATAAAGTAGACCAAGTTTCCTCAGTTGTGAGCATGCTGAAGGGTACACTAGAGCGGAAAAAGCTTATGAACCAGACTGAGAGAGGAACTGATGAAGATAGCTTTTTAGGACTTTATGGTGCTCAAGAAGTTCTAGGAGACACAAGTTTGAATCAAGGACAAGGAAATCATATTCACGAGACACTGAGAATATTTCAAGATGTGTCCTCTGTTCAAGTTACCAATCCTGGACTTCTACAAGCAGTTAAAGGGTCATTTCATATGGATTTCGAAGGTTTTGTAGCTCCTACAAACCCAATGCAGATGTGCACAGTTTCTCGAGAACCTTCGCAAAGTGAATCTTCTGCAGCTGCACCAGTAATCTCAACTGGGGTTGATGCATGTGATGGGCCCAGCAATTCAGGTCAAACTGTGAGTGAGAGCTCTAGGAAACACCCTGGAAATGGAAGGAGTTCAGAAGCTAAAGGTATGTATAATGTGCAAAAATAAATAAATTTATTAATTTTCCAATGGAAGATATTGGGATGTTTCATGGAAATAGTTAGTTTATTTTAATGTTATTTGCTTTTGAATGAAAAATATATTGCTTAGAATGCATCATTACCAGAAAATGGGAGCTTGACTACATTGGGATATTGTATGAAGTTTGAAAGCATATCTAATGGATTTATTCCAAATTCATGTCATTTTAAATCATCCCATTGTGTTTCTATCCTCTTTTTTCTTTTTTTTCTTTCACTTAGTGTGAGCATTTCCTCTTTGAACTCCAGACATCAGGGAACGTATATATGACAACTTAAAAGATGATCGAAAGGTATGCTCTACCCAATTCTAGTTCTTTGATAATGAAACACAAATTGTCAACACTATTGTTTAAAAGGACTGAAGAGAATAACTAAACTGCCAAAAATTTCTTTGGTGTTTACCTGTCTTCAGCAAAAAGGAAGTCTTGTTCGATATGGATCAGTGACATCAACTGGTTCAGGTAATGAATTTCTTTAGAACTTTACAAGTTTTACACTTGTCTTTCCATTTCCATACTTCACTAATTTCACCCAAAAAATTAGATTAATAGCTTGAGAACACACATTCAAGTCCGAGAGCAACTACTTTTTGCAACTATTGCCAAAGGTTAGGTCTGTCTCCATTTACTCCTCTCCGCACTGTTGACTAACGAGGTCCAACACTGGGTAATGCCCTTTTAAATGGGGCTGCTGAAGAAAACATTTTGTCTTTCGGAAAAACTTGTGAAATTAGAGATTACATTGCTTTTAACTGTTGAGCTTTCTTCTGCTTGATCATTTTGAGATCAAATTTTCTATATGTTTTGGGTCATGGACAAGCATGATATGGTAGCATCACGATGGTCGTTAAGTGCCAGTTGTGTCTAGATTCAATAATGTGCTAGTTGTGTCTAGATTCAATAATGTGCCTATACTTCCACAAATTTGAATAGTATTTCTTTCTTTCATGCTTATTTCATAATATCGATCCATCATGTGTGCAAAAGTTTCTGCTTTACCATCTTCTATCCTTATTTTGATATAAGCACTGTGATAATGCTTATTTTCTACAGATATATTACTGTAGCATTTTTATCAAGTCAATATAATTTTCTCTAACCAAAAGAAATATTGCAGTGGACAAAGGGGATCCAACAAAGAAGCGTAGGGTGGAGCGATCCCGGAAGTACGTATTACTTTCTTGACAAGTTGGGGGAGAGTGGTCTCTTCCTATATACATTATTTTCTAAATTTTATAATCTTGTCTGCTGTTAGCCTCAAGAACAGATTAGTATCAATTTTTAGTCATTGAACATGCAAAAATCCCTAGCTTTCTTAGTTTATTTTTCAAGATATCTTCATGAGTCATACTTAAAGACAGATAAGCTCTAGAATATTAATAATTACAAACTTGTTGTATCTGTCAAACAACTTGATTGCTTTTCATTGTTCTCTGAAGGTGAACATGTAGTCTAGATATTTAATTAAAATACTTTTTAGTAATTTGAGATAGATACATGCTAAATGACGATGAAAGCTATCTTCAACTGCTGGTAAAATGTGTGTAAGCAGCTTAATTTATGTTGAATATTCTGATGTTCAGAATGGCAGAGGCAAAGGAAAGAAATCTGACACCATCAATTCCATCAGACATGCAGTCCATTTTAAAGCGGTGTGAAAATCTTGAGAAGGAAGTGCGATCGCTCAAACTCAACTTGGCTTTCATGAATAGGTGACATTAATTTACTATAACAAACATTCTTTCTGTTTTGTGTTGATTAAGGAAAAGGGGAAATGAACAAAAACATAAAATAAAACTATCCGGCTAGAACTGGTTTGTGGAGGACAGAAGATTGTGTATTGAGAATCCATAGATAACATATGTTCACACATTTGCAATGGTTTAAGACTTTGGCCTAATAACCTCGAGATTATGGGTTCAAGTCTTGGGACCACCATTTTATGCATTATGCTAAAGGTTAAGTGTGTACTCAATATTTTCCTTCCAAAACACACATTAATGTGTACTAATTGGGTATTTTTTTTTTCAGCTGGAATTTGAATTAGTATTATGAATGATACAGTGGAACCAAATGGACCAACATTTTTTTGTTTGTTTGTTTGTTTTTTTTTGCCTTTCAAAAAAATTAAAAATCTATTTTCCTGTAATTTTATTTATGCATAATTTGTTGTTAACAATTTGATATGTTTTAAATTTCAGAAAAGACTCTGAACAGACCAAGCAGATAGAAGAACTTCAAAAGCAGAATGATGAGCTGACAGAAGAAAAGGAGCGTCTTCTAGAGGAGATTGAAAGGATTATTGCAGACACTGGAAAGATGTGAGACCTTAGTCTGTTTTATCCATCTTCATCTTCCATCATCTCCTCCATTCGGCACAAGGATTAACATTACTATAAAACCCTTCAAAAATCCAAAGCCCTTGAAACCGCCTGGGAATAAATAATTGAAACAATGCAAATGCAACCCTTCACATACCATTAAGGGAGGGTTGCAAGTTTACTAATGTTCATAGAGTCCTGTATTCAGTGCTGTGGTTGGTATATTTGACCTGAGTCATGACGATGAGTAGTGATTTTTGTAAATGTTGAGAGTTGGGTCTGGGGAGCTTCTATTTGCACACATCACTTTCACTCTTGATATTTATTTTTATTACAATTTTATTCCTAAGTGAAATTATTATTATGGACATCACATAAAATTCATATAAACACACCTTCTCCTTGCACATCCACATCTACTTCCACATTGAAGTTGCTGAAACGTTGAAGCTGTTGAAACTCACTTCCATACTCAGTTTGCTAAACCTCCACATTCCATCCTCATCCTTTCAAACCCTTCATTGTTAGCTTCCATTCATTAGTATACACACACTAAACACCCTCATTCTTGATTCATAGCTTTTAATTAGTTTACACACTAAATCTCATCTTCATTCATCATTGTTATGGAAAATTTCTGTTATGAAAATTCAGAAGAGAAAGATAGCCAAGGAAAGGTGAGTTTTGCAATGTAAAAGTCGGTTTTTTCTTTTCTTTTTTCCCCAGCATCTTTTGGATAATCGGGGTCGAAATATATCAATTTATTCGGTAGTCTACTGCCGAAATAATTATGTAATTTTGAAAGTTGTCGTCCAAAATAATTTAAATTTTTCGGCATTCGACTTCCGAACCGATAAAAATAATTCGGACAACTACATTTGAACATTATCATTTTGTTCAACATGGTATTTCCGAATGAAGTATTTTTTTTTTTTCCATTTTATATTCCAAATTCGTAAATATGAATGGATCCCAAATCCATCAATAAGCCAAGCTAAACAACAGGAACCCTGCCGCCACTCTTGTCACTGAAAAGCGTACATCCCAACAGAAACAACAAATAAGCTCTAACAGCGCACTATATAGCCTCTTCTGGGTCTGAATCTGTGACACCAGCAAATTGCCTTCGCAACCATTCAAGCCTGACTAAATTCCCACCAGCAGTAGAAACCTCGTCATGTGCTACACGTTCAGTAATCCCCAAGCCAGAAACCAGTAGTGTAACTCCATGAAGATCCGTCACATCTGGTACGCTGACTGATCTATCTACAATGGGAAGGCTAAGAATAGTGCCAACATCAATCAAGGTCAAGGTCATCTCACCAACTTTTCATATGAAATGTGTTCGTCTCAGGTTGCCATCTCTCAACAAAACTGTAGATTAGAAGCTTGTTGACGAATCAATAAGTGCAACGAGCTAACTGTGACGGCCCAGACCGCTCAATAATGGCTTTGAATCTGGTGTTGTTGTCTACTGACCACCATGGCCATGCAAGGATCTTCGAAGAGTGATTATGACACTTTAAGGGCCCTCGTTCCTATAAAACAAATAAATATCTCATTAGAAACTACCATATAACACACACACAAAAAAAAAATCATATACAAATGAATTTCACTTTTACTCAGGAATATTTACCTCCCCGTGCCAAACAGCTACAGCGACATGACTATTGAAACTCCGCAGTATTGATGGATCAGTCAATCCACCTGGAAAAGCATGAGTAAGGTCCTCTTCTTGGATAGTAGGAGAATCGAGTAAAGAGGCATCCTCCACGGCAATGTCAGGCATATCATCATCTTCAACTCGTTTTTGGCTTTGGCTCCAACTTTGACTGGCACTAAGGATATCATATTCTACCAAAACTGGATCATGACCCCGACCCCGACTCCGTCCTCGCCCACGCCCTCGTCCCTGTTCATGGTCAACATCCAATTCACGACGTCGTCTATTTGAAGCAGTCGGTGGCACACGTTGTTGACATTTAGAATCCATATTATCTGCAAAAATTAATATATTTAATGAATATACAATTGTAAAAAGAATATACAAAAGAGGGGGAAAAAAAACATAACAAAACAAAACAAAACCGTTCGGAAGTTGAAAACCAAAAATATCTATTATGATCGGAAGTTGGAAACCGAAAATCCAAATTCATTTCGAAAGTTGAATGTTGTCCGAATTGAACATATTCGAAAGTTGAATGTTGAAAGAAAGAAAAATTTTCGAAATTCTACTGTTGAAATAAATGATAATTTTCGGAATTCTACTTCCGAACAAGTTGTTTATTTTCGGAAAACCAGTTCCAAATGAGGAACAGATTGCTCATCTCGATGGGCTATGTGTTCGTTCGTTTTGAAAATGGTAAAAACAAACCCTATATTATAAATGAAATAGGAATGAGGATTGAAATAAGTAAACTAACCTAAGTTCTCCAAATGTAAAGAATTCCTTCAATGGTTCAATGAGATTCATCAATGCTTCAATGAGATGTCTTCAATAAGCTTTTGGGGACGAAAGGTGTGAGAGATGGACTTGTGTGAGAGATGCAACTTTAATGGGTGTGTATTTGCACTCTTCGGAGAGCTGGATTTGGGGTCTGGGCGTGTGTATGAGGGTAGATGTGGAATAAAAGGTGTGTGCAGTGAGTAAAATAATTTGAGATTAATTTTTTAGGTGTGTGTAGTGAGAAGGATGTGCAAAGAGTGGAAATGGTGTGTGGAAATAGAAGCTCCCTTGGGTCTGAGACAAAGCTGAGGTTTACTTTTCAACATTCAAAGATGGGTATCACACAGCAAATATTTTTTTTGTAAGAAATTGAAACCATTTTGGATTTTTAATGCTATTGAAGTCTTACATGGATTCTTCAAATCAAATAAAGAAGCCATTTTGGACAATTGTCACCTATCTAGGGTATGGAATATGTATCCGATACTTCTCTTGAGACGTGTAAAACACTATTTTATCCTACAAAACAAAATAAACATATAAATAAATAATATGATCCTTATTTGCTGAATCCACATATCCTTCAGTTAGTGATTATATGGTTTGTCACCTAAATACGCTTCTGCACCCAACACCCATTAACTTCAAACATTGACAGGATGGATCTTGGAACATGTCTTTATTAGTTTATAAGAAGTCTGAATCAAAATTTAGTGCCACACAATGTGTATAGGTTCACAACCGTGCATTGAAGTTTAAGATACTGACACCTCAGAGGACAAGAGTTATAACCATTAAAATCAGTTGGTCATCATGTAACATCAAATCACAAGTTGGGCAAGAATGTGAAATATAAAAGACTATATGTGAGGCTCTGAAATATACAGTTGTTTCATACAGAAAGTATGTTGAAAACGTAGGTAGCCACATTTTCTCTAAAACGTCTGATGCTAGTACACTTCTTCAAATAAGACAATGTTTTAAACTGTTATCTACATGACAACTGCTTAGTTGATGTTAATAATTTGCTTCAGGACTGCTACGTTGAATTTTTCTTTGATTAGTTTCAGTCAATAACTAGAATTTGTTTTTCCAGTCAATAAGTCCTATTCTTTAGGATATTGTTAGTGTTATCAGAAATCTTGGTTTGTTACCATAATTTTTGGGATTCATTTTCTTTTCAGTTCAGATATTCTTACTATAAATGTAATGCACCAGTATGAATGAATATAATCACTCTTTGCTGCATCATATCAGCTTTTATCATTTCCTGTTTTTTATTCTTTCATTTCATTCAATTTCTATTCTTCATTTTTCCTGTTTTTCTTCTCTTCTCAAAAACTAACATTTGGTATCAGAGCAGCATTCTTACGGTTAAAATCAGTTGGTCATCATGTAACATCAAATCACAAGTTGGGCAAGAATGTGAAATATAAAAGACGATATGTATGGCTCTGAAATATACAGCTGTTTCATACTGAAAGTATGTTGAAAACGTAGGTAGCCACATTTTCTCTAAAACTTCTGATGCTAGTACACTTCTTCAAATAAGACAATGTTTTAAACTGTTATCTACATGACAACTGCTTAGTTGAACTAAAAATAAAAAAGAAAAATAAATGAAGTGAAAAATAAAATAGAGTAGCTTGTGGTGACTCATTTTTGCAAAGACAATAATCCCTTTTGCTTGGCATTATTCCGTTGACGAGACAGCCCTTTGCTGCTAATTTTTTTTTTCTTTTTCTTTTTAATGCGTCCTCAAGGAGAGGAATTGCATTCCACGACCAGAACAAGGCCATCACTTTAACTAGTCGTCCACGTAACAATTTTCTTTTGATTTTACCTGCAAAAAAAAAAAAAGGCATGCATTTCATGACTACTTCCAAAGACAATTGTTCCTTCACTCATCAAGAAGAAAGAATATAATTCTATATTTGTTTACAGAAGAACACAACATGAAGTGACGAAGGAAAGCAAATACATATTTTTTAATTCGATCTTTTCCAGTAGAAGACAATCACTTAAATTGTTCTTTGAAAAGAGAGAAAAGAGAGGAAATTTTTTTGCTTTAGGTGACATTCTTTTGAAGACAGAATCCCTTTGCTTGTTAGGAGGAAAGAATATGGTCCTTTATTTGTTTACATAGCAGAATATGTAGTGCAGAAGCAAAGCACAACATAAACCAAAAAAAAAAAATTCGTAACCGGTATTTATGAGGAGCCACAGTGAGATTGGAATCTCAAGCTATTCAAATCCAATTTTCAATTTGTCTCTTCATTTTTTCCCTTTGAGAGAGAGAGAGAGAGAGAATGGCAGATAGTGTGGTGACATTCTTGCTTGCAAAGCTTTCAAGCTTGCTTGCAGAAGAGTTGAAAGTCTTGGGTGGAGTCAAAGGAGACCTTGTGTTCATCAAAGACGAGCTAGATGGCATAAGCCTTCCTGAGGGTTGCAGATGCAATGGAAAGAAGTGATCTGGTGCTCCAAACATGGGTTAAGCAAGTTAGAGATGTCGCTTATGACACCGATGACGTTCTAGAGGAATTTATGCTTCGTCTGGCCAGTTATCATCACCGTGGATTAAATGGGTTTCTTTGTGAGATTTACTATGAAATTAAGAGCATGAAGCTTCATCATCAAATTGCTTATGAGATACGAGACATCACAGTCAGAGTCACGGATATCAAATAGAGACATCAGAGGTACAATTCCTCATTCAGTACCTTAGAGCAAGGCTTAAGCTCCCATGTTGTGAACAATGCATGGTACGATCGACAAGGTGATGCCCTTTTACTAGAAGAAGCTGAGCTTGTTGGCACTGACAAGCCTAAACAACTCATTAATTGGCTCCTTGATGGTGATTCTCCACTCAAAGTGATTTCGGTGGAGGGAATGGGCGGGTTGGGGAAAACAACCCTGGTGAAGAAAGTATACGAGGATAAGAAAGTGAAGAGGCATTTTCAAAACCATGCTTGGATCACAGTATCTCAGTTTAAGATTGAGGAGCTCTTAAAAGATTTGATTCAACAACTTTTCAATGAAGTCAAACGACCAGTCCCTGAGAAGTTGGAAACCATGGACAACAATAAATTGAAAGCAATGCTCAAAGAGTTCCTCCAAGAAAGCAGGTATGTGCTTGTCCTAGATGATGTTTGGAGCGTAGATGTATGGGATGCTATCAAAATTGCATTGCCAAACAGCAATTGTGGCAGCCGTGTACTGCTCACAATGCGTATTGGTAGTGTTGCTTCTATCTCTTGTAGAGAATTCAATGGTTACATCCATAAAATGGAGGCTTTGTCTAAAGAAGAGTCTTGGACTCTATTTTGCAAGAAAACATTTCAGGAGAAGGATTGCCCTCCACATTTAAAGGAACTTTCAGAAAGTATCCCACAAAGATGTGAGGGCTTGCCACTGGCAATTGTGGCGATTGCCGGGGTTTTGGCTTCAAAGGACCATGGTAGAGCAAACGGGTGGGACTTGGTAAATCGCAGCATTGGTGCTGAAGTAGAAGGCAACTACATGACGAAAATATTGTTATTAAGTTACAATGATTTGCCTTACTATTTGAAGTCTTGTTTCTTGTATTTGAGCAGTTTACCCAAAAATCATATGATTGAATGGATGAGCTCGATTCGGTTATGGATAGCAGAAGGATTTGTGGAAGTAAAACAAGGAAAGACACCAGAGGAAGTCGCCCTCTATGAGCTTCTTAATAGAAGCTTGATGCAAGTAGCGGAGAAAAGGCACGACGGAAGTATCAAAAGGTGCCGTATACATGACCTTTTCCGTGAAATTATTCTTTCAAAATCAAGAGATCAGAACTTCCAAATGATTGCAGGAGAAAGAAACATGAGGTGGCCTGAAAAAGTTAGACGCCTATCAATCCATAATACTTTACCAGATATACCAGAAGGTAAGTGTTTCTCTCAATTGCGTTCTTTGCTTGTGTTTGGGGTACATGAGCCCCTCTCTGAGTCCTCCATGCCAATGTTGTTCAATGGTAATTTGAGGTTGCTCAAAGTTTTACACTTGAGAGGTGCTTCTTTGGAGACATTTCCAGGAGAAGTGATCAAGTTGTTCCATCTCAGGTATCTAAGTTTAAGACGAACAAAATTAAAAGTGCTTCCAAACTCAATCGGAGAGCTTGAGAACCTAGAGACATTAGATCTTAAACACACTTATGTGACGGAGTTGCCCGTTGAAATTTTAAGGCTCCAACAATTGCGCCATCTTTTGTTAAATCGTTACAAAACGGGTCATATTTATTATCCATTTCACAGTAACCATGGCTTTAAGGCTCCATCTAAGTCTTGAAATACCTACAGAAGTTGAGTTTCATAGAGGCAAACCATGTCAGCGGAAGCACCATAGTGAAAGAGATAGGAAAGCTCACCCAACTTAGGAGATTAGGCTTTGTGATGTTGAGAAAAGAAGATGGGGTGGCTCTGTGCTTCTCCATTGAGAACCTCAACAACCTTCATTCATTAGATGTAACATCAATAGAAGAGGATGAGATCCTTGATCTTCAATCTCTAACTTCAACTCCTTGATTTCTTCAACGGCTATACTTGAGAGGACGTTTAGAGAAGGTACCACATTGGATTACTTCTCTTCATAGCCTCACATGCTTATGTTTGCAGTGGAGCAAATTAAGGGATGATCTGCTGCAACCCCTTCAATATTTGCCCAATCTGATTCGTCTCACAATGGGTCAGGATGCATATGAAGGGGAGGGATTGTGTTTCAAGGCTAGTGGGTTTCAGAGGCTCAAATTTCTATCCTTTGGAAGATTAGAAGGATTGAGAAGGTTGACAGTGGAGAAAGGCACAATGCCTCGTCTCGAAGAGCTATTCATTTATAGTTGCAACTTGGTGGAGTTGCCCTTTGGCATTGAACATCTATCCAACCTTAACAATCTTACATTGTCTGATATGCCAGATACATTAATTGCAAAGCTGAATCCAGAAAAACAAAGTGAGGATTATTGGAAAATAGCACACATACGTCTTCTGTGGATTGGAGACTCAAAAGATGGCCATTGGAGAGGAGATTATCTATAGACAGAGGGAAAAGTTTTTTCTTTTCTTTTCTCCTTTGTATGCTGGTTGAAAATTTTCATTTGATCTCTCTTTTTCATTTTTCTTTTTAAATTTTTTTTATCTATATTTTGGTGATTTGGAAATCTGATATGTAACCTCCCTAATTGATCCTAATGTATTATAGTAATTTTATAAATTTGAATATAGAATTGTGGTTTATATTTTGCAATTGTGATGATTTTAGTTTAGAATCAGCACAAGTTGAACAAGTCTCAAACTTAGTTTTGAGATTTCTAAGGATTGCCATGTTTAAGCACTTTTAGGGCAAATTCAAACTTCACCAAAAACCATCTAAAACTAGAGTTGTGCCTGCTCCAAAGTTGTATTGGGTTCCCAACTAAAAGAACACAAGGTGGCCTTAAAAGAATCCTTCAAGTGAATTTAATTTAACATGGATTCTAATTCCACAAGTGAATTTAATATAACATAGGTGAAAAGACTATGTCTTTCCAAGTTTTATCTCCTCAAGTTCTTGGTGAGTTAAATAACTTGGATAGGATGAGTTACAATGTTCTGCTAAATTTTGACAATGCTTTACATTGTGACAAATTTGGAACAAGGTTTGGCAAATTGCCAATTTTGCCAACCCACCAACAACCAATTGTTTTCAATCCTTTTTCTTTCATTCATGAACTTCCCAGTAAAAAAAAAAACCAACATACACATACAAAATCTAGATACAATGCACTCACCCAAATCTATATTCTCAAATATATATACAGAGAAAAAAAAAAAAAAAAACTAACTAAAAAATACATATACGTATATAGAATGCAGAGATACATACAGATGGTGGGTGCTGAGATTGGTCCAAGAAAGCAAATTGGAAGGTCAATAGAACGCGGCCAGGGTTAATTGGTCTTTGGGGAAGCGACCCAGAAAGCATCGAACACATGATCCATGCGGGTGTGTGCAAAGTGTTTGAGAAAAGTCCTTAAAGAAGGTGTCCAATAAAGTTTGAGGCTTTGTCTTCTCTTCTGTGCGGGGAGACTGTTTGGATCATCGAAATAGATTCGGGACACGCCCTCACAGACTTCACCCCACTTTGCTGCACACCATTCTTTTGATCCATCAATCACGCTCATCTGGTTTCCCACTTTCTTTCTTTATTTTCTTTTTTCTTCTTTTTCATCTTTGCTTTCCCAACACAACTTTCACTTTCTTCAGTGGAAGACTGTTTTCAAGAGCGAACCCATAAATTTTGTTTACCATAAATCTGTTTTTCTTCTAAAATCTAGAACATCCTCACAACATAGCTAACCTAGTTCTCGCTCCTCTTTCACGTTCTCCACAAACACATTAGTGGGATAGGCGCGGTTTGGGAAGGAGATTTTTTGGTTTTTTTTTTTTTTTTTTTTTTTTTTTTTTTTTTTTTTACTAAAAGACAAATTGGTTACAAAATTTAAAAAAAAATAAATTTAAATAAAATATCACATCAAATTTCATAATTATTTCATTTTTTCTTTTACAAATATTACATCCAATTACAAAAAAAAAATCTAATTATTTTTCCAAATACAAAAAAAAAATTCTCCAATAATATTCTACAACTAAAAAATTCTACAAAAAAAAATCTACTTTCCAAACACCCAAAGTGTATCTACAACTCGACTCTCTACATACCCATATTGGCCCTGTTTGGTACAGCTTTTTTTTAGCTTATTTTAGCTTTCAGCTTAATTTAAATTATTTTGATGTGTTTGGTTTAGCTTAATAATGCAGCTTATAACTTTTTGTAAGTCAGAAATCAGCTTATTCATTGAGTAGGGCAGGAGAAACTTAATTTATAAGTCAGAAATCAACTTATATTTATAGTTAGGCCCCGTTTGGGGACTTACCTTTTTAGCCAAAAAGCCAAAAAGTTACATTTTTAGCCAAAAAGCTAACAACTCATACCAAAAAATCAAAGATTCTCTTTTCTCTCTACTTTTTGCACATCTTTTCATAATTAGCCAAAAAGTCATCCCAAACATATAAGTTTTTTTTACCTACTTTTTTAGTCAAATAGCCAAAAAATTACTAAATTAACATGTTCCCAAACGAGACCTTATAAACCATAAACTATTACGATATAATCTATAATCACTTTTTCACCGCTCCACCAAACTGGGGCAAAGGATCAGATTGTTAGCTTATTGCAATTCATTAGAATGGCAGAAAGTACAGTGACCTTTCACATTCTATTTCCACCGAATTCATCCACATTTTATTACAGTATTATCAAATACTGTTGTTAACATTTATTACTGTATTATTAAATTTTTATATTTTTTTATATTTGATGAATTTTAAAAAAATTATAAAATATTATATTTCTTAAGTATATGTTAATTATGTGTATCTCAAAAGTAAAAAATAAAAAATAAAAAATACTTTAAAATATTTTAAAATTTCAATAAAAAAATTAAAAAAATAAATTTTTTGTGTGAGTTAAACTAAAAAAATAATTATTATTTCTCACATAAAATTATTTTATTATTTTATAGATTTATTAAAAAATAAATGTGTCATTTTAACTTGAGTAAATGTAATTTTTTGAATATGAGAAAATATGTGTTAAACAGGACCCCCAATATGTTAGTGAAATGAGTAATGTTAGGTATTGTGAAAAAAATATCATGAAAATGATTATGAAAAATTATCATTCTTTAATTAGTATGTAGTGTTTGATTAATATGTACTATTGTTTTATATGTCTTATATCATAATATTTTTTTCATGAAAGAGAAATTTACCCTAAGATTTATTATCAAATTAAGAACATGAAAGCTTGTCGTCAAATTGCTTCTGATATGCAGGACATCAAGGCTAGAGTCATCGATATTGCGCAGAGACGTCCGAGGTATAATTACAAATTCAGTAACTCAAAGCAAGGCTCAAGCTCTAATGTGGCAAACAATGGAGGATGTTATGATCGAAGAGGCGATGCACTTCTACTTGAAGAAGATGATATCGTTGGCACAAGACCAGACAACAACTCATTAATTGGGTCCTTGTTGATGGTGATTCTCAACTCAAAGTGATTTCAGTGGTGGGAATGGGAGGATTGGGGAAAACCACCCTAAAAAAGTTTATGAGGATATGAAAGTGAAGAAACATTTTTAAAAACCATGCTTGGATCACTGTTTCTCAATCATTTAAGATCGAGGAGCTCCTAACGCTGTGTTTGGTTGGGGGATTTGGGAAGAGAAATAGAAAGGGAAATGGAAATGAAAGGAAAAGGAGAAAGAATTAATAGAATTCCAAATCCCAACTATGTTTGGTTGTGTTGGTTATAAAATAGAATTGATGTCCTAAAAGGTATCTTATTTCTTTATTTATTTCTCACCCCCTTTCTTTTCCATATATTTTTTATTATAACCAAACATAAATAGGATTACATTTCTCATTCCTTTTCCAAATCCCACCTCAAAAACTTCGTTTGAAATTTTGTATAAAAAGGGTTTTGAAACTAATTGATGGTTTTATGTTAAAATTGACATTGATATGGTATTGGAACACATGGAGATGATGAAGTTTGGTAAATATTAGAATTTGATGAAACTATTGTTGATGATAGAAGTTGTTGAATAAAATCGTTATGGAATTTTAGATTGGGATTTTAATGAAAAGGAGATTTTTAAACTAAACAATGTTTTAAAGTGAAATTGGATTTGTTTTGAGTTGATACTCATGGTGACGATGGAAAGTTTGGAATTGATATTACTATAATGGATGATTATGGAAATTGTCGAGATTGCTTTGATCATGTTTTATATTAAGATAATGACTCTATCATGCCCACAGATGATTCAATGCCCTTTCCTATAGTAGCTTTTACTGAGTGCGGACTCCGGCTCCCACTTAACATTCTTTTTCGCGAAATTCTTCACTTTTATAAGTTGAACCCTATGCAACTCGCCATAAACTCTTATCGAGTGATCAATGGCATCATAGCTTTAGCTAGGCAGGAGAACGCTAGGATTACCCTGGCCGACATTCAGTTCTGTTATACCATGTGCCCCCTTAGCCTGAAGGAAAAGGCCTTCGTTTATTATCTTAAGCCGAGGTCGACAGAATACAAAATCGTAGCTGACCTCCCAGACTCCAACAAGGGGGCTGGAGATGACTATGTTATCGCTTCGGGAAATTGGGAGTTTGGCCCAGACGAGGACGCCCATCTCTACCCTCTTCCTCGATCTATTAAAGAGGGCAAGGGTAAGAGCCCAATGTCAATACTTTAGTTGTTTCTGTTCGAGTCTTCAATAGTTAATCTGTTTCTAATGTTTGTTTCTTCTTGCAGACGTTCGTAAGTTACCGAAAGACTTTCGCCAATCCTACGTTCTTAGCAAGGATCAGAAAAGGCTCTTGGACTTGCCTGTCTACGAAAGGAAAGCACATCTCCTTCTGAACTTTATTCCAACATACAAATCCACACTGCCCGACGTCCCAAAAAGAAAGAAGAAGAGTCTATCTCCTCCCTCTACTACCACTCTTCAAACAGCATCAACATCTCGGGCTGACCAAGGGTCAACCTCGGATCCAGCCGACCAACCATCAACTTCAGCCCCATACTTAATCCCAATACCAGAAAGGAAGCGTCGGCGACGACTCGTCAAGACTGCTGAGATGGGTCGCCCGAAGCCTGTTGCCCAAGATCTCCTAGCCGACCTTCCCACGGATGTTGATGCTCAACCGACGCAAACCATGCCCCCACCAAAGCTGAAGAGAATTAAAAAGGATCAGCCTAAAGCCAAAGCCGCTGAGATTGAGGCTGAGGATGCTCTAACTATCTCACAATTGGCTGAGAGTAAAAAAACTACTTCTACTTCTGTAAAAAGATCTGCTGAGGCCAAGCCATCAGAATCCACCCAATCAAAGAAGCCGAGGTCATCGTCTGCGACGACCTCGGGTTCCAGAATACCAAAAATCCCTTGGAGACCAAAGATTACTCTGGAAGATAAGCCAGTCCTAGCCAACGACAGTGCTGATGACATAAACGTCGGCGTGGCCCTAAGTACTGCTCTACTCCTCCCAGGCGATCTTGAGCGAAATGCCAAGATGAGTGAGTATGAGAACTACGCCTTTATGCTACAACACTCTGTCCAAGTAAGTGCCTTTGTGTTGAAATCTGTTTTCTCTCTTAATTTGCAAAATTTTGTAACAATTTGTGCCTTGTGTTCTTTCAGGCCATCCAACATGCCCACTCCATCTCCATGCAAGCTTTTGAAACAAGGGAGAGGTTCGCTGACATGAAGAGGGAGTGTCACGACCCAAACCCGCGCCGAGAAGGTTGGCATCGTAACCGGCCAGTAATCCTAGATTACCACAGGCCTTTCTGTACAAAACATACATAACCGGGGCTTGCGGAAACGAAAACAAAACACTAATAGTCCAAAGAGCTGTGCATTTATATGAACATACATTACATGCCAAAAATGTTAATTTACCCACTACATTACATCACATATAATCAAAATTCATGTACAAAACATAGGCCCACGCCACATGTACAACCAAAACCAAGCTTCCTAACGGCCTTCTAGGCCTAGCCCCAACTCGGAGGCACCAAAACACCGGGTAGGCTTCAAAACAGCGGCTCGGCTCGGCTCGGCTCGTACTCCGCCTAGGCTTGACTCCCAGAGTGCTCACCTATAAATACATATATACAAACAATGAACTAAAGCTCAGCAAGTAACATTAAAGTAAAGGGGTAGTGAACGAATTCCACATTTCATATATCCATAAAATAAATCATTCGTAAACATAATCATCTCATATCAGAACATACATAATGGCATACTCCATAGAATATAACATTTGTCGTCCAACGACTAGAGTAACCGGTCCCGGACACCGATTAAACACATACCGAGATCTCGTAAACTGGTCCACTTAGGACTATCTATGGATGCCATACTAGATTCGCAAACTGGACATTTGTTCACAGAAAACATTTATCATTTCAAAACCATAGCATAACGTAGCACTTTTAAACATAGATCATACTAACATATCTTTACAGAAATATTACTCACAGTGGGTTTCCAAAACCGATTGCACGGTCTTCGCCTCCTGACCTGCAATTATTAACATTAGAACACATTATCATAGAAACAAGTGTTCATGCCATACTATCCTTTCTTTACTCTATTTCATGATTATGAGATGCTAAATGATGCAAATGACATGTGAAAATCATGTAATTCAACTTCTCCAAATTTCCTGAAATAAGTCCCCCGCTCGAGCGCCACTTTGTCCGCTCGAGCGGACTGCACAATTTTCCAAAACTGCTGGGAGGCCG